ACTGCTTGTGTGTGTGTGTGTGTGTGTGTGTGTGTGTGTGTGTGTGTGTGTGGAGGGGGTAGGTCTTTGCTATAGGGCACGTGTGCTTGCCAGAAAGACAGAGAGAGACAGAGAGACAGAAAGTGAGAAATCACCTCCCCCCAGGGAAGATGGCCACGCCGCAATCCCTTTTCCTTCATTCTCCTCTTGGGTTCTTGGGCACACATGCAAGCACACCTGGCATGAGTTTAAGCCACCAGGTCTGGTACTCGAACTGTGGTCAGCTACATGGGAGTCCAATGACATAGCCATTACTCCAGCTGCTGGTCCCTCACCAACTTCTATCTTACTGAAAATGCCAGGAGTGATGGTGGGAGAGTGAGCAGGAGGGAAGTCAAGTCCTGTCTGTACCACGTATAACACGGTCTGGTCATCCTCTCCCAAAGGTGGCTCTCTGGTGCCCCCCTCTGGATCTGCCTACCTGTATCCCCTTTTGTTTTGAGGGGCTTAGAAACAAAGAAACAAAAAAAGTGGTCATAGGGATTAAAACGTCTTAGTCATCCTAGAAGCTTATTTATTTTCTTTTTTAAAAGGCTGGTTAATAACACGTAAAAACCACATTTCTTCTTGCAAGTATATGTGGGTGGAGGGTGGTTATTTTTAAATGAATGACTAACCACCGTCATTGTCAGTGTTTTGTAAAAATCAGTTTAATAAAGTGTATTAAACACTAAAAGGCGCAGCATTTGGTCCAGCTCTGAAGTCAGCAACTTGTGGTCACCTGAATCCTCGGGCCACCGTCTGGCTAGGTCCCTGCTACTTCTGCGTGGCTGCCCTGAGTTTCAGAATCAGAGTTGGGATGTATGCTCTGGAGCTGCCTCTCTTGGAGCCTGATGTTGCAGGCCATCTCTGGTTGCTCCAGGCCATGGCACCCTGATGTCCCCTTCCCCACTGACACAGAAGGCCAAGTGAGAGCAAATCCGTGTGCAAAAGCCAGTGCCGAAAATCCCCACCACATATACTTCCCAGGTGGGCTTCATGCACTGTCTGCACCCCAAAGCGACGCACTTACCATCTCCCTTCTGCCTTCATCCTTTTCCTGAAGCTTCAGGTGGGCAGACACCTGCAGGGACAAGGACGAATGTGTAAGCAGAATGGATGGCTGAGGTCAGGGCAGCCCTCACATGCCAAGGCATGGGCCCTGGGCCCCAGCGGTTTCCTGAGCTACCCAACTGCAGTGGAAAACCCAAGGAGGTCCTGGCTCTTCACTCCCCTTGGTTAATAAAGGTAGGGTCATGGGAAAAGAATAAATGGCTAAGAGGTTTCCCATTATTTCAGCTGAACTCTCGCTATGCCCACGAGGGAAGCTAAACGTGCACAGTTCAGAGACAAGGAGCGCCCAGGCATACAGGGCTTGAAGATCGTCCTGGGCTAGAACTGGTGGTGTATGTTCAGGAATTTCACAACGTACTTGCTAAACCATTGGCAGCTTGAAGTGAACCATAGTGAGAGTATTTATACCATGGAAATTGGCTGTTTTGGTTGTAGTATTTTTTTTTTTTTTTGAGGTCCTGTTTACCAGCACACCCTTAGGCCCTGGGCCCTGCTTGGTAAAATTCTGAGTAGAAATCACCACGCCCAGTTTCAGCCTTGGTTCTGACTTTAGGGGCCTTGGGCAAACATGGAGCCTCGGTTTTCTCATCGGCACAATGGTGAGGTTGTGCATTACAGTGGTAACCCACCTCACTAGCTACTGAAGTTGCTGCAAAAATCAAACAAGAGCTTGAGAAGCAGGGGCAAGTGGCAAGGCGGTCACAGGCCCCACAGTTTGACAGGGCCAGGCCCATGTCACCTTGGCAGAGCTAGCTAGGGGTCATGTGACACTGGGCTGGGTGTGTAAGTGGTTGTGAGAGTCTACACAGCTGCATCTGACTTGTGACTAGGATTCAGGAAATAGGGCCCACGATCATCCTATGTATAAGAAATGATCTTGAACCATCAAATGTATGATGTCCCAAAAGGAAGAACTAAAGCACTTCCTTAAGGTATCATGAAATTCTCAAAATCAAATTGAGGGGGGCCAGCAGATGGCATAGCAGTACATTGCTGGACTCCCACATGACTGACTGTGGTTGGAGTCCTGGATCTGGTGGCTTGAAAATCAAGCCAGGTGCTTGTGCGTGCATGCCCAAGATCCCAGGAGGAAAATAGAGAAGGGGTTGCAGCATGGCCATCCCCCCTGGGGATGATTTCTCACTTTCCCTCTCACTGTCTCTGTCCCTCTCACTCTCTCTCTCTGGTGAGCACATGTGCCCTAAGGTAAAACCAACCCCCCCCCAAAATCTAATTGAGGGCCCCATGGTGGCACAGAGGTCACATTCTGTGAACACCTGGTCACACTCTGTGAAATTGATCTGCATGGGGAGGTTCCAGGTACTTGTCCAGAGACATCCGTGAGTACGCCAGGTATGTGTGCACCTATGATCCCGGGCTACTGAGGCTCAGGGAGAGCACAGCCTCGGGACCTTGTTGCTTATGGAAAAAATAAGCTTAAGAAAAAGCTAATTAAATTTAATTCTGAAAATAGATGTATTTCATAGCAGAATCTGCTGACAAGGTTAGGACAGCAGGCCTTACTGTGTCTGCAAAAGAAAATCTGAGCCAGAAAAGCAAAGCGAAGATTCTCAAACAAGCACCCTCTATCGAGTGGAATAATTCACCAAGCAGCTAAACTTGGGTTACCCCAGATGCAGGAGCAATTGGGAGATCCAAAAGGGTGAGTACAAAGCTTGCATTTATCACATGCTGGGAACCATGAGCATCAGAGTAGAGGAAACCCCGGTAAGAGACTGCTTCACGGTGCCTCCTTGCAACCTAAGCCCATGTCTTATCAGGATGCCCAAATGGAGGCCCAGCAAGTCCCTGAGCCCACCTGGAGGGGCTGGGCCTTGCAGAAAAATGCCTCCACCTACAGAACACCCAGGACTAGGGAGGGCAAGTGAGAACAGCCCTGCAGGGACCTCTCTTTTCACTTTCCAACCAGGCAGGTGAGGTAACACAGGATTCTAAAAATGTAACCTGCTTCTCTTTGTGGAGCTAGGAGTCCCTGAAAACTGCCCCATGTGAGACTCTCTGGCATGGTCAGAGAAAGCGCTGCCCAGTCCGAGTCAGGAAGATAGCACTGGATCAGAAAACAAGGCGACATTCCTTCTGCTCACAAAGCTCAGAGCAGGCTAGGCTGACAGCATCCCCAGGTCTACGTGGGACCTGGAAGCCAGGAACTCTTCACAGTGGGTATGGAGGAAGTAGAAAATCAAACAGCCCAGTGCCCCAAACCAGCCACAATAAGCAGCCAGACTGTTCAAAAATCCTTTAACGGAGGTGCCGAAGGGCCAAGGAAACTCCCTCAAATCCTGGAGTTAGCCACAGAGGAGAAGATGCTGGGGAAGACTTTCTAGGACTGAGAAACTGCGGTAACTGTGTTGTAACTGGCATCACTGGTTCCGTGGCCTCACGTGGCAGGCAGATGAGTAGAAAGACCCTAGAAGCCCTAATGAAGCACAGGTGAGCTGGGGGTTGGGCCAAAGACACAGGATGACTTGAGGATGACCACCAGGTTGTAAAGGCCTCCAAGGGAACAGGATTGTGGTTCCCTAGAAATGGTCACCCACATGGTTTGGGTCAGTATTTTTCAGAAACTCGACTGTACCAGGGTCCATCAGAACTCATGGTCTCAGGGACTTGTGTTCGATGACACTATACAATCATCGAGGCTGGGGTTGGCTGCCCAGGAGAGGGAGGGGTACTGACCACGTGGCGAGGGGAGGGACACTCACCATCATGGCCTCCTGCACGGTGAGGTGCGGCAGCAGCATGTCGTCCTGCATGATATAGCAGGACACCTTCCGGAAGCAGCGCAGGTCCCGGGGCAGGCCATTGATGAGCACCGCCCCTTTCATGCCAGTCTCCCTGCAGAGCCAAGGACAGAGGAAGGTCAGTCCCACACCCCCTTGCTCCTCTGTCTTCAAGGCCTAGAAGGGGAGAGTCAGAGAGGAGGGCTTTTCTGCAGCAACTTCCAGCTGAACCACTTGCCCCAGAGATATGAAGGGGTAGGAAGGACCTGAGACCCAGAAAATGCCACAGCAATCTAGACGAAAAGATTACACAGAGACAGTGCCCAGCAGGTGTGCTGGTCCCCTGGCCTAATGGTTAAGGGAGCTGGATCCTACTTGGCTGACTGCAGTTTAAATCCTGGTCCTGGTGGCTTGAAAAACACATGAGGTACACAAGTGCAGGTGCCTCAAATCCTGACAGAATAGAGAAATAGAGACAGGATTATGACATGACCACACTCCATTAGGGGGTGCCTGCCCTCTCCCCATTCTCTCCTGTGAAGTTCTATGCTTTCTGGAAAAAATAGAGTACCCAATAAGGAAGAAGAAGCCATCTATGAGGCCTCCGTGGGGCATGTGCACACTAGGCTCCTATACAAGAACACACAGGGGTGCTACTATCTGCAACCATGAGGTCAGCTGTGCACTCCGTGGCTGTGCAGGGCTTTGCCACATAACCACCGTGCATATAGTCCAGAATGCCCCAACTGCCTCAAAGGCTCAGGACCTCCACAGTCAGGACTAGAGGGCACACAGCAAGGTCTTTGGCTCGGTGCTGCAAAGACAAAGTGACCCTGGACCCACTTAGCTCAGTGGGTGGTATTTCTCTACTGGGACAGTGCCCTCTGACCTCAGGTGCACATGCCCGTATGAGTATGCAGCATAGCCTCATGGCCATGGCCACATGCAGTCACTTGTTTATTGCAACCCACTGTGTACCTCTGCTACCTGCTGCTCTTCCAGGAGCATGACGCAGCCCAGGAGGTGGTAGGTACTACAGGCGACTTGCCTTCACACCCTCTAAGGACCCTTTCTCTAGCCCTGTCTCCTAGATGCTACAGAGAACAGAAACACAGCAGAGTCAGATTATGGAGATTAATAAAACCATGCTTGGCTTGCAACTTCCTCAGCCCATTTGGGCCTTCAGGGGAGGTCCCTTCTTTCCTCTAGGCAGGTCACTGGGATCCCCCAGATCCCCAGGATGAAAGACCCCACTGTCTCTGGGCTGCCCTCTGCAGTCAGGAAGTCCTTGCTCCCTCTGGTCATCCCGGAGTTGTGGCTTGCAGCCCTGCGACCCCCGCGGAAACGCCCCACCCTCCCATGCTCTCGCAAAACTCTGGGTGTTGAGAGATTGGCTTTGGCCTTTAGATGTGATTGTAACAGGCAGGAATTTGTCATTGACAAGATTTTTTTAAAATCCTGATTTGTGACATTAAGGAATCATTCAGAAATTCTAAGGAAAAGAGGTTTGTCATTTTTTTCAGTAGATTACATTAAAACAAACTTTAAATTTAACAAATAGAACCATGGGGACTGAAAAGCCCTGGCTTTAAGAAAGCATCTTAAAAACATTCAAGCCAGTTGGTGGTGCAGTGGTTGAGGCAGCTGGATTCCACATGGCCACCTGCGCGGTTCAAGTCCTACACCTGGCAGCTTGAAAAACACACTAGGCATGTGTGCATGCATGTCCAAAATTCTGAGAGGAGAACGGAGAAGGGATTGTGGTGTGGACATACCCCTGGAGATGCTTCCTCACTTTCTCTCTCTCCCTCTCTCTGAAGAGCGCACATGTCCTATAGCATAATTTAAGAAAAAAAAAAAAAGGCACACTTCTAAAGACTAGTTTTCTAATAAATCACAGACAACACTGGCCATGACCACTGGCATTTGGTTCTATATTTCTAAATAACGAAGAGCATCACAAACCCAGTCAGACAGTTCTCATCCTCTTCTAGAAATGCCTGGTTTTACTTTCTGACTTGTACTCACATTGATTTTTCAGAGTTTTCCGCATTCCTGTCCCCGACCTTGACTTTCCTACTTCCTCCTGACCCGGAAGGACTAGCAGAGGCTGAGCCATTCAGGATGCCTCCCTGACGAGCTGCCTAGTGGCCTCTCCCCTTAGCATGCAGCATCGGTTCTCCACCCACTGTGGGGTCATGGGCAGGTGCAGACCTCCAATGCCATTCCCCTCCGAGACCATTTCCTTCACAGACGCCAAAGCTTCTGGGTGCTAGGCCCACCCCGGGCTTCACTGGAGCCTATGTGCACAGAATCTTAAGAAGCCGCTGTTGTTGACAACAGAAGGCTCACAGGGAAGGGCTGACTGAAGAGGCTCCATTGTTCGTGCTATAGGCCTGACAACTGGATGGGCGCTGTGCCTGCCAGGGCAGGGTTTGCTCACCTGTATCCGGCCAGAATGTTCATGAGTGTGGATTTCCCAGCCCCCGAAGGACCCATGATGGCCACCAGCTCTCCACTGTTGAACTTTCCAGAGATTCCTTTCAGAAGGGTCTTGTAGCCTGCAAAAAGCCCAGATCACATTCACAGATGTATCTCCTTACACGCCAATGCATATATGCAAACACGCAACCACATTTGACAGCAGGACTGGGGCCAAAGGCACTATTTTTGATGCCACAATATAAAAAACTGCATTCTAGAAAAGAAAATGAGCCTTGAGTCTGTTTTTAAAATATCTTTGTTGGGACCAGCAGTTGGCATAATAGCTATGTCACTGGACTCCCATGTAGTCAATCTCAGTTTGAGTCCTGGACCCGGTGGCTTAAACTCACATGGGGCGTGTGTGCATGCGTGCACAAGATCCTCAGAGGAGAATGGAGGAGAAGGGAATGAGGCATGGCCATCCCCCGGGGGGTGATTTTTCGCTTTCTGTCTCTCTGTCTCTCTCTGTCTGTCTGGCGAGTGCACGCATACTATAACAAAAACCTCTCCAAAAAAAAAAAAAAAACACTTTGCTTCCTCGATTGCATTTCCCAAGTTACAGTCATGATAATGAGCAGCATGTGTACAATGCTTTAAAGCTTACAAAGAGCATTCTCATACACCATCTCATCTGGGAGGAATCTGCCACTCCCTTTCACATGAGGAAGTGGTGTCCTGTGAGCTGGGTGACTAGCCCAGGGCTAATCGTGTGAGCAGACCAACCTCCCACTGCACCCCAACCAGTTGCTCCTTCCGGACGGAGTACATACACACCTTTATTAATTACCTAAGTCACTTCTCATCACATTTACAAATTTTTTTTATACTCTAAGTATTTATATAAATATAAATTATGTATATACAATGTACTTATAAATAACCATTCTATAATTAAGTAATCAATACATTATTAATTCCATAATTAATAATTAAGGGTTTACTGTTTTGCAGTCACATCAGATTGCTTTGGAATTTCTGCGAAGTCTCCATCTGACATCTTTGTAAGTGGAAAAAAGCTACACAACCCAAGCAAAGCCACATTCATTTATTTTTTGAGTAGACTGTTTAAATGTGCTATAAAGAATAAAACAGCCGCAACTGGATTCATAAATAGACTCCCGACTCAGAAACATTGCTCAGTGTAGCGTACACTCGGAATGCGCTCTTCAATGATCAAGTATCACACATACAGTGTCGGCTCTCGCACGCAGTGTTTAAAGGGACTTGAGATAGGGCTACGTGGGTACCTGGCCCACTCTCTTGTTATAGACTTTCCCCAGGTCATGGCTGGGCACCCAAACCTGTGTTTGTTAGAGTCCTCCCTAGCCTCGGGGGAGGGTGGCTCTCCCTGCTGTCTTCCTGTCTCTTACAGATGGGACACCTGAACATTCCAACCTGTCACCAGGTACCACTTAATTTGGACAGGGAGTCCCTGAGGCCTTGTTTAAGCAAGGCAGAACTATACGGAAGCAAATGTCAGGAAGCTCGATTTTGCAATTCTGACGCATTGTGGAGAAGAGGGCAGCTCTCACCCTAGAGAGGGTGCAAAGAGTCTTCCTGTGGGAGAAGAGCACCAGAATGGGGCTGGAGGGGGAATCTGGAGAGGCGCTCAGAACTGCCTATGAACTCCCATGATGAGGAGAGCTTAGCAAACATGCAGCATGGGATACTCTAAGGAGATGAGTTGAGTGGAGGTACGGGGAACCCCAAGAACAGGCATCACGCTTGGTCACAGCTGCCCCTCAGGTGATAGATGGACGGAGGAGCTGGGGACAGCAGGGACCCCTTCATGCAAGACTGAGTTCCCAGTGCGGCAGGCTCCTCGTCACGATGGAGCGCTGAGGCTCAGGGCCAGGTGCTCTGGGGAACTGGGCCCCAGGGGGCCCGTATGACATCACCACAGGAGCCTAAATACAGGCACCTGCTCATTACCACCTCTCATCTAGTTGGGCTGGAATCAGGGTTACTTCCGAGCAAACCTTTTCTTAAGCTGCTCCCAAACTAAGTTCAGAGCTGGTTTTCAGCTGGTCCCTCATACAGATGTCTGAGGACAAAAGAAAGGTCACTGAGATGACCACTGGCCACTTGGAGCCTGAGCATAGTCTCCACATGGTCATCACACCCCTAAGGGCACCTTGCACCCCGGGGTTCGAGAAGGCCCCTTCCCTTCCAGAACCTCGGGCTCTCCTCTCTGACTGGCCCAGGTGCTTTTGGCATGGGGTCCATGCTGGGACGTCAGAAGTCAACACTGGCTGGAAGAAACTCACACAGACTCTGGTGCCAGGGTCAGGACCCCAGGAACAGGAGGGGTGGCGAGGCTACGAGCATTCAGCTTTTCTGTGGCAAAGCCGGGTATGGGACACAGGCTGGGGTCTTGCCATCAGAGCCATCAGACTGGCACAGTGAGGCCTGCCCCTGGTGTCAGGCTGGTGGCCATCCAGCAAGGGATGCTGCTCCTGAGACCGACAGTCTGGGAGTGAGGCTGGCTCCCAGGTTAACAGGGACACGTGTGTCCCTGTGTCCCTGTGTGATCCCTCCTGGGGTCTGGCAGTGAGTAGGACACCAAGATCCAGCTCAGAACTGCGTTCTCCAATATTAGAAACCTGCTCTAGTCAAATATAAATAAATAAATAAAACACAACAATTACACTTGCATTTGTAATGGAAGGATTTTAAACGGACACTGGAAACTGGCATCTAGTAAACAGCAGTCTGCGCTGGGGCGGCCAGGTGTGCCAGGTGTGCCAGGTGTGCCAGGCCGAGATGGTGCAAGCGTAGAAGTGGGCCTCAGCACAACACTGAGGGGCGGGAAGACCAGGTGGAGCTTCCCCATTTTAGCAGTTTTCGCGAGGACCGACGTGCGTGGCTCTGTGCTGATGTGATGAGCTCATCTTTTGCTGCAGAGCCTCTTGTTTGGTTGCCCTTCCAGAAATGCAATAAAATGAAGATGGGACCATCTTGACCTCTGTCCTATTTTCCCACCTGTGAACTCTGCTCAGCCCATGAGGTGGCATAATGAATACCTCACCTGCCCTAGTGGGCTCATGTTCCACCGCCCTTGTCCTGTACTGTCCCGGTTGGGAGGGTGAGTGTGCAGGAACCACGAGGATGAAAAGCACCAGGAGCAGGGCCATCAAGTGCCTATCAGTGCCCAAGTTCTGCCTTTAAAACAGCCCCACCAGGACTCAGACCAGAACCTAGATCAGAAGCCAGACCAGAAATCCAAACAGAACTCAGACAGAATCCATAGAACATAGACCAAAACTCAGGTCAGAGCCCAGAACCCAGAGCAGGACCCAGATAGAACCCAAACATCCCAGACCAGAACCAGTTCATTGCTCAGACTAGAATCCAGACAATCCAGAACTCGAAAGTCAACACCAGATCTCAGAGCAGAGCACAGTCTGTAACTCAGAACAGATTTTAACCCAGAGCTCCAGACAAAACTCAAGACCAGAATTCAGAATCTCAATCCAGAAGCATAGACCAGAACCATGGGCCAGAATCCAAACCAGTACCCCAGGCCATAATCTTAGACCAAACCCAGACCCAAGCCAGCTCTGAGTCCATACCTCAGACCAGAACCCCAGCCCAAAACTCAGACAGGGCTCAGACCAGACCCAAAATCCCAGACCAGGACCAGACAGAACCCAGACCAGATTCCGGACCCCAGACAAGAACATACAGACTAGAACCCAGACAGAAGCAGAACTCAGATGAAAACCCTAGACCAGAATCCATGGGAGAGCAGGACCGTCGGCCTCAGTTACCTGGGGGCACTCTCCATTGCTCCTCTGCTGATATCCACCCTGCCCTTCCCCACATTCACCAGCAAGGCTCTATCAGTTGCTCTGTTCTCTCTGAGCACGGCCTGCTAAGAAGTGATGCAGCTCATACCTTCTCAGGGGACATAAACCAATGGTCAATTAACCAGGAGCAAAAAAGCCCCATGTTCAGTCAGGCCCCTGGGAAATGGAAAGAAACATGAGAAGGAGGTCATGCAGGGCCAGAGGGGACAGTGGGGTACAAGCAGGGGCCCAGGGCTCCAGAACTCATTCCCCAACACAGGCAGATTATGTTTCTTCTCGGGGTCCTGCCAGCCACGTGTATGAAAAGGAACTGGCCAAGGCGAATACCTGTGCCCTCTTGGTTACTCTGGAGAGTGAGCAGGCACTGGACGCACCGTGCAAACGCTGTCTTACCACAGAAGGTGGGGATTCAGCAACGGGCACAGCTGGCAGTGCGAGGGGCCAGGCCCATTGCCAGGGAGGGCGACGGTGAGAGGCACAGGAGCCAGCTCTGGGCAGGGCAGGGCTGGATGGCATACCTAAGGGGAAAGAGAAGAGCAAGGGCCTCTGGGTGGTCCGAGTCTGCCTGTCCCTTGATGTCTGTGCCCCAGGATCATGCATACTTGGGGAGAAATGGAAGGTTTGCTGCTCACTATAAAAATAGTGGGGGCAGAATTTTAACCCTGAGCCCCCCATGAAAGTTCTGAGCCTGATCAGACTCCTCTTCAGCAGATTTCATTGTGCCAGTCACCATGAGTCCACTGTCAGATCAAACCCACAGGCCCACTTATGTAGACCAAGGAGGAGCCCTGCCAGAAGGGAAGACCCTAAGGCACATTGGGAAATGATGAGGGGCCAGCTCTGGGCTGTGCTAGACGCCCGCCAGACGCCCACTGACCACAAAGGCTAGCAACATCTCTGGGTATCCCTGCCCAAGGTCCTCTGCCCACACTCACGCCACTGAATGGACCATTTCCAGATGGTCTGAGAAGTCAGCCAGTCACCAGGCAGTCCAGGGTGCCAGCCACAAATGTGTTCTCTCTGTTCTGGGTGCCTGAGCCCCATACCGAGGTGCAGGCAGGGCCGAGCTCCCCTACAGGCTCTAGGGAAGATCCTTCCTGCCTCTCCCAGGCCCTGGCAGCCCCAAGTGTTCTTTGACTTCCAATAGCATCACTCCTGTCTCTGCCTCGTTGTCACGTGGCCTTCTACCCTGTGTGTCCGTGACTATGTCCAAGTTTCCCTCTTCCCATAAGGAGTCACATGGGGTCAGGAGCCCCCTACTCCAGTGC